CAACAGGGAGCAAGTATCGTCATGATAGTCTTCGTTAAACAATTCTCTCTTGGCGCTATCTGGCTCACCTTGAATATCTTCCTGCTCGATTCATTGGAGTAATTTTTGATTCACACACCTAAAATCAGTTTCCCATGATATAAGCAGGTAACAAAATAACTGCCAAGGAAAGGTGATGGCTCCTCTCCTTGCTCACTGAAGAAGCCAGCTGTCAGACTCTTGGCACATCAGAAAATTGGAATTGTTTGATGCAAATTTTACATATCATGAAATCGAGGTTTTAAAAGTGCAATAAATTAACCTGAAACAAAGTTCTTTGTGGAATCCTGAAAATTCCTATAGTATGTCTACATCTGTTAAATCAAAAAATCCATTTTCCAACTGATCAGCTATAGAGTGCTAGAGTACAGTTTTGACATTGTTTTCTACACAATTAATCTTCTAATTACAATTCTGTAAGCAATCTCAAAACAAATATGCAGATTTAAAGAGCTGTAAAGGTTTACAGCCTTACTTTAAAATCATACCCTCCAAATGTTCACCTTTTAAACCCTGAAAATCCTGCCTATATGGTAGGAGCCACACATTTTTTAATCTCCACTTCTTAATCTGATTAAACAAATCTGATTTCTCCTACTGCGTTTAATACTGGCACTCCTCCTAACTGCTTATTTCACAGCAGAAATTGTCTTTGGGAGCATATTTGCATTATTGCCCAGATTGATCTACACGGCAGCTTTGGACCAAAAGATTATGCACATATATAGCATTTCCTAAAGGACAATGCTTAAAGCACTAAAGATATCAAGCAAGCAGAAAAATTTATTCTAAATATTATAGCTTTATAAACAACATAAAACAACATATTAAGAACTGCCTAGCATTTCAAGCCAGGTACTTTGACTTTCAGATTTTATTTATCAATGGTTTGCTCTACCCCATATCACAGGCTATAAGATTTTATTTTCCTAGGTTTGGGGGAGGTTTATTATCAAACATTTTTCAATGAAAGAAAGAAATGTTTACCACAAATACTAACAGTAGGAAAAAGTTGCTTTGGGGCCCTTTTGCTGCCAGAGCGAATGTACCAATTACCTGCTTTGGATGTTGTCATCGTATCTCCAGTGGGTTTCAAGCCCATTAAATATCTGGAGGAATTTGGCTGTATTTCTGTAAAACATTCTGACGGCCTCTGTTTTATTGTGGACCTCTACGAACAGGTAAGAAGCCATGAGCCTGTTATGGACTCCGGGCTCCTGCTATAAACACACCTCACCATCAGACCTTCTTCTGCCAGAGGAGCCAACGGAGACTATTAATCAAATGAGAAAGAAATCAACCACTTGGGCAGCTTTAAACAGATCCCACTTACCCTCTCTTTAACACACAGCGCTATCAGAGCACCTCTCAGTGTCTGAAGGCCAGTTGTACAATATGTAGAATCAGTTTTTCTTTAAAAAGGAGCAGCAACATGAAGGACGCAAGTAAAGTAATTGCAATCAGCCTGAAAAAAATCTCAATGCAAAAGACGCTCTCTCTCTTCAGCTCTCCAAAGCATTATGGAAACCTGAGAGCTTATAGGTAGTTGCTGAAAAAAAACAGTAATAAATGATATCAACCAGACTATGCGCTCAGCAAATAACTCAGTTTGCATTCAGGGGTGGGGTTTCTGTGCAGGCTTTCGCAGCACAGAAGACAGATGGTGATACACTGACTTCTGTAAAAGTGTACTCAATGTTGCATTAAGCAGTAATTAGAAAATTCCCTTTGATTTTACCTCTATTCTCACACAGATCATTCCATGGCTTTCAGAAACATTCTTTGGGATGTCTATAAAGCAACATCTCTAAACTACAAACATAGGAATCTTAGGTTGTTCGCTCTACTAGTTTAGAAAGATGAGAAAAAAATTGTTCTATGTATTCTCTCACCGATGCATTACATGTACGGTACCTGTGTATTTCCTGGCTGACCTCTGGCTTGGACACAACTACAAGCCCAAAAAATGAAAACCAGAGGACCAGCCAACACCATCGTGGGTGCCTTATTTTCAGCCAGCCTTATTTTTCAATTTTTCATTTAAGAAGGTACATAGCAGATATTCTTATTTAAGATAAGTAAACACAGCAAAGTTTGCAATAAATACAGAATAGATGATAAAGCAGATTGCTGAAGGATTTTATTTACCAGGTACCAGTTTCCGAACAAAGTACACATTCCTTCAAATATCAAATCTAATCCAGCTTCCACAAAGGGGTCTATAAAAATAATTAGAGTAACATGCTGCAAGATGTATGAATACTGATCATCTTTAATGTGGAGCTTTCAACTCAGCCCGAGATGCGCAACACACAGCACATATGGGGACTGCCGTGTCCCAAAGCAGCTTGGCTGACTGCAGCAAACTGCTTCCAAGCAAAGCTTTCCAGGAGTGAGAACGAGAGGTGGAGAATGTTCAAAGGGGGAAGATTGGAACATTCATTCTTTCATATCACAAAAAAGTAAAAAATCAGCATGCTTGGAAATACACTTCACATCGAACAGCATCCACCCAATGACAATCACCAGAACAGCAGAAACAAAATTACCCTACACCAACTCTTAATGGTCCAGTGCAGCTGCTCCAATGTATACAAACAGATAAGTGAAAAGCAAATTCATATTACAGAAGCTGTCTCTTAGCATTTACCTTTACCTACAACCTCACATCAAGCTGCTGACACAGAGCTGCACCATAACACAGATGTGGATGCTAAAGTTTGCACCTCCTGGGGCATCCTCACTTTCATTCCAAAAATTGGATGCGAAATTGTTTCTACAGTCAAATTGTCATACTATTATGACAAACTGGCATGGAGTGACGAAAAGATATCAAGTGCCTCCAAATTTTCTTTAAAACATGACAACTGAGTCCCAGTTGTTTTATCACTTTCAAATGAATAGTCCACGATTTCTACTAATTTATGAGTCTACAACTAAGAGTTTTGAGCAGGAAAGGAAAAAACAGCTGGTCCATACAAATGTGGTTTATGAAACACCTAGAATAATACAAAATGAAAATGTAAATTAAGAAACTAAAAGTATTTAATATTCAGTCTCTGCTTGCAACCAACACTTTTCCTTCCTTTTTTTCCCTGTCCCTCACAAAGTATCCTGTCCCCACTGCATGTTGAAGTGACCAAGTACAAATAGATACATCCCTGATCGAATTAAAATTTCTAAGATTATTCACTACAGAGGATATTGCCTTTACCCTCCCTGTGGTTACAGGTTTTGTTATAGACAGCAAGTGATGAGGGTTTTTGTTTGGTTGTTTTTTTTTTAAACTGCTTTGCTTACTCTTCCTTTACGCTCTCCTATAGGTGATAAAAAAGGATCCTGCTCTGAAAAAGCAAACGGATGCAAACCCATTAAACTACTATAAAATTTATAAGGAGGTCATGCCTCAGATGAGACCCTTTCCCTTTCAAACACAGTTTCAGTGGCTGTTTCTTTGCTCCTTCGTATATTATTTCTCTCATTAATACGCACATGAGGAATTATGCATCCACGAATCAGCATCTTCTATATGGCCATCCCATGTCTTTTTTTTTCTAAAGGGTAAGAATTAAACATCACAATCCAGGACAAGTGATTAATTCACAGTAAAGAACATCTACCAATCCTATCTGTTATACAGGAATCTGGACATGATTTTGGCCATATACAAACACTGCATAACTGCCTCCCTGGACCTCGCTCAACTTCTTCCTTGAAGTCAAATTTTCTTTCACAATTAATCAAGACCTTTCAAAATTAATAACATATGGTAAATTTGCAGACAAAACATAGCAAAGTTCCCCTATATGTAGCAATTATCTCTATCAAGAAAATAATTGGTAGCTCTCATCATCAACAAAGAAGGAAACAAAATTTTTTCTTTTTTACTTAAGGCACTAAAAGGCCAGGAGAACCTGAAAAGAATCCCGTTACTGCACTATGTGTTTGGTTGGACACAGCTGAGAAAGAAGACAGCAGATCAAACATATTTGACTGAATGATGTTCCTAGCACAGGCTGCATGTGAACGAAGATCTTGAAATCCACTGATATGCTCTTTGCAATGCCTTCCTGATGCTCTGCATCAGTATATCTTGGTACACTATTCCATAAGATCCAAAGATGAAGAGGCTTCTTTAAAAATATATATATATATACTTTATACATATGAAACTGTCTGACCACTATGTTGTCAACATGTAGGCTTTTCCCCCCACAAGACTGGCTCAGCATTTATGCACCAAGGTCAAATAGCCTTCTACCTATTTTCAAAAGGATGCGAATTTTGGTAAATCCACTTTCAAAGTGCAAAAACATTCCAGCATGGACCTGCATGCTGCTGAAAGCTCAAGTGTGACAGATGCCTTCACAGTAATGGCCAGTCAGCCACCACACTGTAGCTGAAAACACCGTGCATCACTTTGATCTCCTTAGCTCCCAAAGCGCCCACAATCAACAGTCTGTATGAAGAGTATGAAATAAGCAACATTTCCAAAAAATGCCTCCACGGAACTTAAATATAATAATGTATGTTTTGTTCATACTTCCTAAAGCATTTCAAATCCTTTATGACGCATATGAAAGAATATGGTCTAGCTTGCATAAAAAAACAAACATGAAAGATGTTTTTTATTTGGAAGACGTGTAGGTTTTTATTTGGAAGACGTGTAGGTTTTCATTGGATAATGGAGGGAAAACAATAATTTAGAAGAGACTGCGTTGCTTTGATGGGAGGACATTACATTACAGAACACGCTTAATTAAGTCTCACTGCTAATTCAGTAAAATGAATACCTTGCTGAATTAGGCTACAGGGAAGTAAAACATGCATAACAGTTCCACGTGCTTAAAACAAATACACACATTAAAAAAAAATAAAAGAGAAAGAGGGTTTTTTTTGAAGGATGCTGAGCAGGATTTCACTTACATTTCGCAGGTAACTCATAGCCACAAGTAATTTTCGCTTGTCCAGTCTCACAGCCGCTGAGGTTGCGACATTCGGCAACAAGGCAGGGCCCAGCAGCTCGGTGTATACAGCCGTCCACTGCAAAACAAACCCAGCAAGTTCTGTTATTAGAAGAAATTATTCTTTTATTATTTGAATTTATCCACATAAATGTATGGCCACAGACATTTACTGCTTAGTTACATATGCACAGTGGAGACTTACTGATTTATTCACAAGCAGCCAAGAGCATTTCTTTTTTCTGCTAAAATTTAAGGTCTGTGCATTGAACAACAACAAGTTAAACTTAGACAACAGCAGCTAATTGGAAAGAAAATACCATAAAATTTAAGGTCTGTGCATTGAACAATAAGTTAAACTTAGACAACAGCAGCTCATTGGAAAGAAAATACCGAGATACTGTAAAGCAAAATTGAAATATCAATATTAAAAATGGTTCCTACCCAAGATTCTAGAAAATTATCATTATCAATTATGAAAACAGAATTGGATTCCCAGCTAAATGCCAGATTCTCTTTTACTACATACCTCTGATTCTTCTAATATTACACAGGCTATTTTAAATCACTGTCCTATTAATGTCTTTGAAAAAAATAGAAACATTTTTATGAATTTGACAAAAATACCTCATTTTGGCCCTTTTTTTAAAAAAATACTTATTTTGCATTATTCATGCAATACTCTGGAGTTAATTAAATAATAATTAGTAAAGGTCTCAATTGCAGCTAAGTAGGCAAGAAAATCAGTAACGTGCACAGTTCTTAGTGCCCTCGGGAGCCAACAAAAGAATAGCAGCAAGGAGCAGAAAAACCAAAATGGAACAAAAAGCTCACTGGCACAGCATTTCTGCCATCTCAACATACAATCCAAGAAACCATTTACTCTAATTACAGCAAAAAGCTTAAGAAAAGAAAGCAAACAATTAGGTTTCATATTTTTCTGGATAAGCTGCCTTCTACACACTCCTGAAAACTCAGACTTTTCTTGAGGTATCCTGTGCCTTTGTTAATCGTTAAAATTCACATGACAATAACCTGCAGAAATGCTCCCTACTTATCTTGGACGCAGTGCCACTAGCGTTCAAAACACTGTTTTGAAATCCTCTATATTAGTGAGAACAATAATTGCAGAATCATACCTTGTTAAACTTTCAGGGATAATTTCTGAAGTTTTCTCATTTTCAAGAATGTGTGTCAAGCCACCAGCCTTAAGCAAGTTCCCCATCTAACACAAGAAGCCTTCCTACCCTACACCTTAGCTGAACTTTTAAGTGTACTAGAAATCTGTGCCCAGTCCACTCTACATCATTAATGTAAGAAGAAATATTTTGTAACCTCAAGGGGAAGAAAAAGAACGTTTGAAATTTGTCCTGTGCTCATAATATCCTCTTCAATAATTTTAATTACAAAATGCTTTCCCAAACCAAGCAGGATAAATAACCCAGTATGCATTGAAACCTCAGGCATATGTTTATAGGCACAATTTTTACCAACATTAATATTTCCTGAGACATTAACATAAAAACAGCACTAAGGCTGTGGACTAGCATTCCCTGCACAACCCTCAACCAAAGGAGATGCCTCTTACCTCGGGGCAGCTGAGGGGAATATAAGGATAAAAATGGGGGGAATATAGCCTGGATAAATCAATCTCTTTCCCCTGGACTGTGTTAATTTTAGCATGCTCATAATGCAGAGAGAAGTGAGATACAGATGGTCCCTGCCGGCTTCCTGCAGATACTTCACTCCGCACCCAGTCTCCACGAACCAAGTGTTTAGCTACCTCCAGCAGGATGAAAAGGTAATTGGAAAAAAAAATCCCAATGGAGAAAATTAATTTTATCCTAACCAGCTTTAGCATATGACAAGGAAAATAGGAGGTATCCACAAAAACAAGAAAGTAAAGGTAGACGCTTCTCTTACAAAAGTCGATAACAAGACAGGATTGAACACTCTGGACAGGCAGAGACAGAAACATGGACAACAGCTTTTGATACAGCATTGACGGAATAATTCTCCCTCCAATTCACTTAACTTTTAAATAACTTCTTTTCTACCATGCTCCAGGAAATACTTGATCAGATTACCTCTAAGTACACATTTTCTATTTAATAAGATGACAATTCAATAAATCATGCTAGAAATATTCTGTATTTTCAGTGATATATGGAATATGTCTCATAAATTCAGTAATTCTCATATCAAAAACGCAAGCAGCCTCTTGCCAAATATGAGCACTCGGCATAATATCAAGAAAAAAATTGGCAAAGATAAGAGTAGATTAGCAAATCTAAATAAGATACACTTGTGTCTCTGCTAAAACATGCTTTAGCTGTATTTATTCAAAAAGATATGAAAAGAGGATGCACAAAACATTTATGCAAGAAATTTTGTTTTCTGAAAGTGTGCCATGACTAGCAATATAAGGTAAGAGCAAGATAAGCATTGTTAACATGATAACTGCGCAGAAATTACAGATAATGGCAACAAGCTCAGGAGAAGGAGACGACGGCCAAAGAAATATTGTTATTGTGCTGTAAGGAGGAATACATTTCCACGAGAACAAAAGCGTGCTGCCAAATTACTTTTGTAAGAAAGTGAAGAATTTTTGATATAGTAGTTGTAAGTATTTCAGCTATCAAATTATTCTGATATATAGATGCTCATCTGCATTTCTTTAATAGATTTGGAAATTGTTAAGCCATAGCCTACTGTTCCCTTCCTGGAATTTCTTCATGCATTTGACTGTAAAAATCCATGCATCTATGTTCAAATATGACTTCTTCTCTAGGTCTCTCCATACTGCCTTCCCATCCATTTTTTTGGATATCACATATGTACCTTGGGTCATTTGTACACCCAAGTCACCTCTCACTTTGCAGTTGTGAGACAGATGTGGGAAAATACCGGCGGCAAGACCATCCATTGTTGCTGACAAGTCACTTGGTTGGTATTTCTAAGCACTGGCCACCCTTGAAGATACCAGACAGAAGGTTGCTAACTACTTGCTCAAAACTCTGCTTCTTGATATGGGTTTCCTGCCTATCTATCAAGTTATTTCCTACCGGATTTTGATCACATTGTTACTAAACTAGAGTTGACAGAGGGCTGGAGTCCCTGCTTTGCTGTGACCCATGAGGCAGTAAACATGCACGCAACATTGGGATGGTTTCTCAACCTTGAAGACATAAAAGAACTATATGTTGAGGGCTGAAGTATGAGGAGCTTAAGATTTTGCTATTAACTTCAAACAATTCATTCTTGTGCAAAGCTTTAAAGATACAAAGCACAATAAAGAGCTTTGTATTAGGAGCACTATTCCCTTTTTTTTTATCATTAAGAATAATATTATCCTTCTCATTACATGCATCCATATTTTTGGGGGCTCACTGTGCACAGCATTTTGTTCTCCTAACAACTCAGCAAAAGCAGTTAAGGAAAAAATACTCTTCTCAGTGGTACTGCAAGCAATGATTTTGGATGCACGAAGGAGTCACCTGAATATAATTAAAACATCTGGATAAAATCAAAAGTTTCAAAATAAAGCTTCCAGACAGAATGAGGCTGTGCTAAAAACAGTTAAAAATAGAAATCTTTGACAAAAATCTTCCTATATTGCAGTTAAAGATGTTAAAAGATTAAATGCTTTTTAATTTAATTTTTGTAAAGCAACTTGCTTCTCCAGAATCAAGGGGTTAAGGTTACAGAGCAAAAACAAGCTAATTTACTGATACAATACAGAATATATCTATTTCTTATTGAAAATCTCTTAAAATTGCAAATGAAGCAAAAACACAGGAAACACAGAATTAAGGGTGTCATGGGATGCTGCTTAAAAAAATAACCTCAGCAAAACTAGCCTTGCAGTGCAGATGGTAATAAAAAATGGTAAGGTAATCAAATACCACAGCAAAATAATGCAAACCTTCTGGGAATAAGCCCCAAACTTCTTTTGTGACCTTGCATTCTGAGTCTGGATAAACTGAAATCACGGTGTAAACAACATATGCAGATTTATCATCTTCTATTTCAAGAATCTATATACTCTTTTCCTCCATCCTAATTTGTGCTCTCTCGTGGTTTTCCTGATTTTTCTCTCTGGTTTCTCCAGGAAACTCAGGAGACGAACTTATTTGATAAAATTAACTGTGCATGGCTTAGTGATGAAGCAGGGCTGCTCTTCCATGTGGGAAATGTCAGGCCTGAAGGCAAATGGTGTCTCACTATATCAGGCATATTTTCAGGGGCCTCCCAAAACCTGCAAAACACATTTCTAAAGAAAGCTACCTCGTTCTGCAAAACTTATCTCCAGGGAGTTCGTGGGAACTCCGTACAGGGAGAGTCGCAGCAGTCCCTCTGAGCAGGATGTCAAAGGGCAATAAATGCTGCCCAGCAGGAGACAACAGCTGCTCATCCCACCAACAAGGGTGGCAATCTTGAAAGGGGACCATGCGGATGCCACTCAGCTGGGGCAACCAGGAAGGGCAGTTTGTATTGCTGGGATGGCATCTGCCTTCAGGAGTTTAATAAAGATTTTTTCCATCAGTGCCCCCTGGTTTATAGGCTCCCAAAATAATTAACTCTAAATATTTAGCATCTTTATAGCACTCTTTAGCCAGGGTCTCAAGGAGTTTAAAAACATAATCTAACTTAGCCTTAAAATTCTCCATTTTCAAAACACAGTACAGCACTGAGGTATTGTACATTTTGAGATGGCTGGTTTTTTACTGACCTCGGGTCAGATTTTACCACAGTCAATCTAAATCTCTAAATCTCTAGGCTCTGTCTATATTCAGTTAAATCAAGACACAGAAAACTAAAAGATTCAAATCTTTGAAGCTCAAACTACTGATTAGATGTCATTCATATTCTCCTTAAAGTTCTTTGAAGACTTTTATCTTCACTTAGGAGCCAATGCACCCAGCTAAAACAACAGGCCTCACTAGAGCCATGCGGAGACCTCCAGGTCCTCCTTGCTGCCACCACTGAGCCACACTGCAAAGCAGAATAAAGTAGTAACAAGAAGATATAATGCTATATTCTAATAGAAATGGCAAAGAACATACTTAGAGTAATACA